TGACTTCAGCGGGTCCCAGTTCTGCAGCAGGCGGGTGATTGCAGGGTTGAGTGACAGCCATCTCGTCACAACATGGCGCAGGATATCATGGAATTCAACGTCACAAAATTCATAGGACTCTTTCAGGGACTCTCTCCTTTTGGCAGAGGTGGAAAAGAAGCTGTATATCTTCAGGACAATATTTTCCACATCTACTGAGAGCTTGTCCAGGGCTTTTTTCACAGTGTTATGAACAATATGTGCATGACAGTTGCCACGAAGGATCTCACTGTTGGTCTCTTTCAATTTTGTGAAGACTGAGTTGTGGATGCCATAATTTACATTTGCATTGTCAGCACTGAATGCAGAAACCTGATCTAAGGATAGCCCCACGTTTTCAAGAGAGCTTTGTATTATTTTTACTATTCCCTCTGCAGACTCATCTGGATTTTCAACAAAATCCAACATCTTGTTGACAACTCCAGCCTCTGGTGTAAAAAACTGCAAGGCCAAGGGAAACATCTTCCGATTTCCCTTGTTTGAAGCATCAGTGTGAAGAGAGAATGGGAGTGGAGTTGCACCACTTTTCAATTTTTTGATCACCTCTTCTATTGCCTTTGGAGACAGGACATCTGTGACAACTGCTTCAGCTTTCGTCCTCCCACAGGACATCTTTTTGGCAATACTGGAGTCATTCAGCATTCGTACAGTCAGTTTGAGTGCACAGTCACCCGAGTTATAACTTAAACCGTGCTTTACAGTGTGGTAGACATGGGTCACCTCTGCAGCAGTCACCTATAAAATAGAAATATATATATATATATTACAGTATATCTGTATAGTTTGTGTAGTTTATCAACTGACTTTAAAGTATAAATTACGCATGCAACTTGTAAGAAATGGGTATGGTCATATATATGTATGTTTTCAATATAATGTGTATTCTTTATATATATTCAATTCAGTAATACTTTATTAATCCCAGAGGGAAATTAGGTGTTGTTGCAGCTCAGACTAATCAAGTCTTCAAAGAGTTGTTGAAGACCACAATCACTGTGGGAAGGAAGGATCTCTGCCTTGCCTTGAAACGGAAGTCTCTTCTGTGTCAATTTATTCGGGCTTTGTGGCTTCAGTTGAGGTATTATTTCAGCTTTTCTAATGCTAATCAGCTGCTCCAGTTTGTAAACCCACTTGTTCCCATGATTACGCATCATAACTCATCATCATTATTCATCTACGTATTACTTTTATGTATTAGTCATCTATTCGTTGTAATCATCTATCCTTGTTTATTACACAAAACAAATTATATTATCAAACTTCTGGCCACACAGTGCTGATATTCATTGCACATGCCCATATTAACCTTAACCAGGGGGTTTAAAAAAACAACAATGTTTACATACCATATCTGCTTCTGCTGTGGCCTGGTGGACAACAAATTGGTCAAGGGTTCCTCTTTCTTTCACGCCCCTCATATTCATCATGTGCCCACAAGTAGAAGCATGCTGCTTAACGTCAGTCAGTCCACCATGGCAAATGGAAAAAGTGCGCCGGCACAATGTGCAGTGCGCTTTATACGTGTTATCGCGCACTTTTCCCAGCCAGTTGTTTTCATTTTCCCATTCCTCCCTGTATTTTTGCAACCCTTTTTTTTCTTTCTAGGAGGGGAACAAGCACTGTTGTTCAAAGGTGTACTGTCGTCCCAGAGTCGCGCCGCAGTGTCAGTGTTTGTCTCTCTGTTGGCCATGCTGATCATCTGTTGTCTTCCGGTATCTTCTCCGCACACCTTTCCTCGACCAATTAGATAAGCGGTAATCTGAATTGTTATACTCGTGCTAAGTGTACTGTCAGCTCATTGGTATCAGAGCAGGAGAGGGGCTGGGAATTATGTTTTCAAACAAAGCGTTAAATCCATTAACATTTATAGACTTTTTGTGATTCTCACTGTATTACGGGACAAAGTGCGTCCCTTATTAGCTCAATACCGGACGATTCCGTATTTTAAGGGACGGTTGGCAACCCTACCTTTCAGGTAGGTGGACTTCTTAGCAGCGCGCCAGACAGCATCGCGGTAGATCCTGGATGTAAACTGAATGATGATTCCCCTGGGTTGGTTGTTGTTGGACCTCTTGGGACCGATACGGTGGACGGTGTCAACGACGTCGGGGGATTTATCTTGCATCTCCGGTATGACTGATCTACAGACTTTGATTACCTCCTGCCGCACGTCCTGCTTGTCCCTCTCGGTCAGACCGTAGAGCTTCAGATTCCAACGCCGTGAATAGCTCTCCAGGTGAGAGATGCGCTTTTCCTGTGCTTCAGCGATTGCTTTATATTTTTCGAGCTGTGCCTCAACACTGACAACTCTGCTCTTCATATCATTTAACTCAGCACAGACAGCATCAAATGACTCCTTAACAGCTGTGATATGTTCAGTGTTCTCTTGGACAGCTTTTTTCATCTCGGAGATGGCTATGGAGTTGTCACTCACCATTTTTTCAAGTGTCTGACCTCGAGTTAATCAACATGGTAAGTGATGAGAGCTGGGAGAGAACCGTAGATGTCTCCGTATCCGCAACTTTTCTTAGCTTACCCGCGGGAGAGGCACATGGAGTGATAGGGAGAGGGGGAAACTCTTCTTCCATCCGTGAATACTGAAGCGGTTCGGAAACTGCCTCCAAATAGTCGTGCATGGAGTCGATGAGAGTATTTTTAGTGTCGGCGGGCATCTCAGTAGCGAGAGAAGACTGAGCAGCTTGGCTAACATTAGCAAGCTTGCTAACGGAGCCGCTGTTAGCATGCAACTTCTTAGATTCGGTCTTTCTCTTCTCGGGTTTGCTCATTTTGGTTCACAAATAGATACCAAAGTGAGACGTAAAAGATGACTATTGCGTAGGCGTAAATAAAGTCTCTGTTCACTGTGTGTAATATATATTTTAAAAAAGGCCAGGTTCGCAGAACTCAGCGATACGTGACTGCTCAGGGCGCCATCTTGGGCTTCCCCCCCCTCGAAGAGTCACGATTACATTGACTATCAAAAGTCGACGCGTTGTTTGAAGCTTTGTAAGATCCCAAAAGACGCAGGAATAAGTAGTAGGATTTAAGAGTGTAATAACGGACTGAAACAGAAGAGGGCAGCACTGCATGTACAAGGATGCCAGCTGCCGTTAAACCCCGAAGAAGAAGAAGTAGCTGTGTCCCAGAATTCATAGCGCAGCCCAGCTCAGTTTCCAACAATGGCGGCAGCTAGTTAGTTTTAATATTACTCTTATTATTCTTTATGGGTCACAAAATAAACGTTTCACATATTTTCAGGCGAGACTGTAACTGTGTCAACCTCAAATATCTGCTCAGTTTATCAAGACACCACATATTTTCAAAAGCGCTCCGACGTTTTCGGAGACGTCTGTTACCCACTAGCTCGATAGCGAGCCGGGGGCAAGGCTCACTAGAGCCGTGAGAACACCGGACTCCTGGCAAATCGTTTTCAAACCCACAGCAGTGTTTCGCTACTCAGGTTAAACATATATAGGTCACTTAGATAACTTAAAAATGTTATCGTTTGGCTTTTTTTTAGTATTTTATTTGTTCCTGAGTAAATCGGTTTGGCTGAGATTAAAGTTATAGTTTCTGTAAGCAAAGCAAAACTGTTTATGTGAAAAACTGTAAAATATAATTTCCGTGTTCTGTAAAATATAATTTCAGTGTTCTTTTTACATTTCATAAGAGTAAAATCCTTGTAGGAGTAAATGTATCCAAGCTTCTGACAGATGTCACAGATGTTTAACTTATTGTTGTTTACTTGTAGTGTACAATAAATAATCAAAAACACAGGATTATTGTGCAATGCTTCATTACTCATTAATCTTACAAATGTTGAAAGGTAAAAGTGTTCAATAAAATCCTAAATATTGCAAAATGCTGTAAGAACTCTTCTTTCGCTGCTTTAGGTCACATCCCATTATATTGACTACTGTACACACACTAGTTAATATTTAAGATACAAAAAATACTGGTTTCTGTGCATGCATCTGCAGTGAAGGTGTGTGTTGTTTTGCCATGCAGCTTTTACTTGCTTAGGCGCAGACAAGCACTCTTCTTCATTTTGCCTACCATGAAGTCAAGCCAAAAAAACAAGAAAAGAAAAACGATTTTTCTGGTATCTGAAGTATAACAGTTCCCTGAACTACCTCTGATAGTGTCCTCATCATCATAACATTCCCTTTATTTATGATTAGTTATCTTTATCTTCAGAGGTGTGGGTGACAGTTTTAGTGTTTGCTTTAAAAAACAAAAAACAACAAAAACTCAAAACAAAAACTTGAAATATATATATTCTATATACATATATAGAGATGCTCACTCCTGATTGGACACTGAGCTGCACCACCTTCTCCTTCACTCCTCCACCTTGCTGTCCTCTGTGCTCTCTCTCCTCCATCTCCAGGGAATAAATCAGAGTCTGAGCACCAAACCTGTGGACTGTTAGTCTGCAGATAAGAAGGAAAACACACAGAATTCTCATGTTTGCCATTTTTCATACCGTATTATTATAGTATATTAGTTTACCAGTCCAACAGATTTATTTTCCCAAATGGATCATTTCAGCTTTTGCCACACTGGTCCACTTGATTGTCAAAGTGTATTAGCTCTTTATTATTTCTTTCTTTTCTTTACTTTGAAATTATTACAATCAGAACGGACAGGACTGGGGATGGGAAAGAGAAAGATGAAGAAAAGAGAAGTTGGGAAGATGCTCAACAGAAGGAGATGGAAAGCAAAAAGATAGGAGAAGAGAGACACAGAGAGAGAAGACACTAAAAATCTGTTTGATCACCTGCTGGAAAAATAAAAACAAGCAAAAAGAGAAAAACACAGTAGTGAAACCACAGCAAAAACCAACATAAGCACAAGTTATAGTAAATGATAAATATCTCCACATCCCGGAAGGGCCTGATCGAGCCACAGGGGCCATAAACTGACAGTTTATTTATAACTAGAAATAATAAAGCAGTTGACGTGTTTCAGGCTGTGACTTTTAGTATCTGTTGGTACTTCATCACTTTGAATAAGTGTAAGTCAACACCAGGCCGCACTTTCAGTCTTTCCATTAAACAAATGACCAACAATCCATTGTTTTCACCATTAAACAATAAAATATGCTTCTTGACTCCTTGATGCAGGTGCCCACCTACGACCTGGTTTATTAATACTAAGCTAAAGAGGAAAGCAACTCACTGTAGTTCTCACAGCTCAGGACAAGCAGACACCTGATGTTGAGTGACTGAATGGAACTAAAACAAGAATTCATAATTATGTTTGTCTGCCATGAACACGTGATGATAAAACTCTGCATATGCAGTCAGGAGACTGATGACCTGTGAAATGAGCTGTTATAAAAGTGCAGATATGTGTAAACATTGATCAGCATTTAACATCCAGGATGGAGCAAAACTTCTGACCTGCATGTATGAGAACCTTTAATCACATCATCTTTGTAGTGAAATAGCTGATGACTCATTAAACGTTTCCATGTAATTTATCCACAGTGAAAAATATTCACTTTGCTGGATCTGAAAATCACGTGTTCATTTCATTAGACACTAGCAATACCATTAAACTGGACCTTATCATTATCATAGAGCACTAAATGTGAGACTGTGTCATATAACAATCTATATATGTAATATGTGTTTGCCTGAATCTTCCAGCACAAACAGAAAGACGAGCTGTTGTCTGAGTATCAACACAAGTACACACCAGAAATCGTTCAGTAAAGACAAATTTAATAAATGAAAGCTGGTGAGAGGGCCTTTGATGTTTCTCTTTGGATCATCCTGTTGTTTGTCTCCCAGTGTCGTTACTGCTCCTCTCCTTTCAAAGACAAACACCAAATAACACCAAATGAGAGTGAATCACTTCAGAAACACTCCTGGTTATTGTGAGCAAACGTCATAACATGATGAATGTATTTACCATTTTACTGAGGGAAAATCTTCTGTGTGGAGTTTCTTCTCATCTTGGCTCTTTTTCCTGACTTTTAGAAACAAGAGGCAGAAAAGAAAGAATAAAAGTTAAAACCTCAACAATTTTTTTAATGTTTGGGATATTTTAGAAACAACCTTAAACACTATTTACTACTTACCACTTTGTTCATTCTTGCTGACGTTCACTCTCCTCATCTTCTCTCTAAAGGACAAATGACAGAAAAGAGGGAATCAATTTTAGTAACTTTATCAACCAGGTGAGCAGAATTTTAGATATTTATCAATATTCTGATTAAAAGCAGAGTGAATACTTATCTTTTTACGAGAAAGGGTTCAATCCGTCCTGTCTTAGGTCTTAATGTCACCTTGGCTCCTCTGTTTTCTCTGAAAAACAAAAGACAAATGGGAAGAAAAAAATTAGTAAATGATTTCAGCAACTAGAGGAAGTGTTCACTGAGGAGGAGCTGTCATAATAATATAAAATCAATATATACTTATCTTTTTTTTAATGACAGTTTACAGAGCACGCTGGCTTCGCTCCTCCCTCCGCTCCTCTCTGAAAGTTAACTGGATAAAGGATAATAACAATTAATAACATCATCAAAACAGACAAACCTGAAAGAATTGCTGATCAGAGCTGTGACAGAGTCACAGATTAGTTGGATGTATACTTATCTTTCACAATGAGAGCGTTTGCATAGACGTCTCTTCAGGTCTTTTTATTGTTTTCTTTCTGGAGAGGAAAGTGATGAGACTGATGAGGAAATACCAAATACAAAGACTGACAAAGGGAACTGAAAAAGTCTAACCAAAACCTATACTGGGGGAAAACTGTAGGAAACAGAACTACTGAGGCAAGGAAACACGAGGGGACGGAGACTAACACTCTGACAAGGGACAAAGGGAGACTGACACTATATTTACACACAGGAGGCTGATTATGGGAACTAAGGACACATAGAAACACAGCTGAACCGAATAAGAAATGAACAACAAGTCGAAACAAACTCTAATGACAGTTCAACCAGTTTCTAAACACAACAAATAACTTTCAGGATGTTTCAACAATGTGTAAAATGAGTTCTTATCTTTTTTTGTGAGAGGGCCTTCAATGTTTCTCTTTGGATCATCCTTCCATCCATTTCTTCTGCTTAACCATTGGAGCCATCCCAGCTGTTATGGGGCCAGAGGCGGGGGGATAACCTGGACAGGTCAGTCTAACACAGAGAAACAGACAACCATTCACACTCACATTCAACCTAACTGCATCTCTCTGGACTGTGGGATGAAGCTGGAGTACCTGGAGGGAACCACAAAGGCGCCAGGACTGTCTTGCTCTCAGATGACGCCCGTTCACGCTGCTCTGAAGACCCTCAGTTGTCTTTGGATCAAATAACACCAAATGAGAGTGAATCACTTCAGAAACACTCCTGGTTATTGTGAGCAAACGTCATAACAAGATGAAAATATTCACCATTTTACTGAGGGAAAATCTTCTGTGTGGTGTTTCTTTGCAGCGTGACTCTTTTGCCTGACTTTTAGAAACAAGAGGCAGAAAAGAAAGAATAAAAGTTAAAACCTCGACGATTTTCAAATATTTTAGGACATTCTTTTAGAAACAACCTTAAGCACTGTTTACTACTTACCACTTTGTTCAGGCTTGCTGACGTTCGACATGCTTCACTGTATATTATAATCTCAAGCGCTTCCTTGCTTGAGTCGGGCTCCGGATGCTGCTCTCTTCCTCCGCCTTCCTCTTAGCACGCTCTGCCGACATATTTAGAAAACGGCAGAGCACCGAAGTGAGAACTCTGCCGTCCGCGCTGTAGTCTGTTACTCTCCAGCGGTTCTTCATCTCAGTGTCCTCTGTTCGGTAAACAGTGGAGATGACTCTGGTGACGGGGAGGCCGTCGACAGTCAGGGTGCGGACACAGTTCCTCCGATCTGCCTTCAGCACAGCAAGATCTGCTTTCTCTGGAAGAACTGGAGTCAGGAAGCGTGGATGAGAGCTGGAGCCCGCAGGCGGCAGCATCATGCCAGCTGGTGAGTCCGTAGGAGGAGAAGGAGTGGTGTTCTCTCTCTGGCTCTGCCTCACATGGACAAATGGTGTCGTCACCAGGTCCCGGTGGAACCATCCTTTAAAAGGTATGCAAGGAAAGTCCTTGGACCCAGTCACCAGGCTATGGTAAAGAGTGAGGACCAGGTGAGTCATGGAGTTCAGATGCCTCCTGCTCAGTTCACGGTTCCTCAAGTTAGTGACGACCATCTGAGGTGCAGTGACTGGACTCACCAGATCAGCTACGAGAAAGCAAAGCGTGCGTCTACGTTAATCATGTGATCACACAAATTAAAGCCTGGATTTAAATTGTCCAGACATGGCTTTACATCATCATAAGCTCTTCCACACAAACAGTAAGAAGCTCCCAGCAGAACTCATTGTTTATGAAAGCCTTCACATTTTTCACCTGGTAAAAGTTTTCATGTGTGTAAGGCTGCGTGGATTTTCACTGAGGTTTTAATACGCATTCACATTAAGGAGTAATATCTTCATATTAGTTGAGCATCGATATTTTGAGGATAAAGCAGCTACATTTAGGTGAGAAACCTCCCACCTCCTTATTGCAGGCACACGCTGTTTCAATCTCAAACTCATCCTGCGACTCTGTGAACTTTTAAAACTCCAGCTTCTCCAGCTTTACACATTCACAATCTATGAAACGTTCACGTATAACTCAGCGCCAGCAGCCCAAACATGTCAACTCAAACCCTCTACATGCAAAAACGGCCGCGCGCTGACGTCAGCGTCCTCCAACGCCTTAAGTCGTTAGCAATTAAAAAAAAACATGGCGCCATCTTTATAGTGTACTGGCACATGTTAAAATTGATGTTACTCAAGTATGAAACATCTCATCCTAAATGTTAACACTCATGAAGTCCTACTTCCAAACAATAAAAGACAAAAATCTAAGTTGTATTTGTTTGCTAGCACTCTGACATATTAGCCTGCTGTACTCACCATAGCGTTGATCTAACACCTCCTCAATGAAAAGGGAGAGCAGGTGCATCTCGCGACTCAAGTTTGAAGAAGTCATTTTGCAAATCCTTCTTGAAGATTTTCAAACGTTAGCTGTAGTTTGAAAAATCCGAGTTTTCACAGCACTAGTGGGAAAAAGCTCCTGTTTGCGCTCAAACGTGAAACCCGAATTCCACTTTTTCCTCCTGCTTTTATACCTGCACTCAAACACGTCATCATCACCATGACACCCAGGGTCACCGAAAATCAATTTTATTTATTTAAAATAAAGTTCGTCTAATTATCATAGTTTTTAAAATATATATATATTTCTCATTTTATTTTACTGCTTTATTCATCCTTTTTAAAAAATATATTGCCAAACTTTGTCGTTTTAAATCTTTAAAAAAATCATTAATTCACCAGTTTACAAAAATGAAGATCGATATCTGAAATTTAAATTAATAAATAAATAATTACAATTGATAATGGGTTTTTAGCATTAAAGAATGGTTTTTCAGTGCGCTTTAAATGTTATCAGAGCCGATGTTGTGCCAAAAAGTGATCGCAGTCCAAAAAGTGATTTACGGTATTGAAACGTTTGTTTGTGTCAGGACATTTGTAAACAGTTGATGTTTAAGGTGCAGTTCATGTGGAAGCCAGAGGAGGGTGGTGTTGTGCGCATAATACAAAGTGATGGCGAAACCTAAAAGACGGTGTCATGTCTGCTCCCTGAAGCAATCTCATAACAGTTTCAATCTATTTCAAGCCAGTTAGCACATTTCTGTTATGAAGTGCAATCATTTTTTGGCAGTAAACTTAAATCCTTTTATTATGAATATCACATTCTCAGATTTTCAAGAGAGACCAGACCAATAGGGCAGCAGAAATCACAAAAATAAATAAATAAATAACAGTTTTATAAAGATTAAAACAGTAAAAAAAATGACTGGAATGATTATGATGTATAACACAGAATATGTACAATAACAGAGTTATAAACACACCTTGAACACACGTGATACTTTTATTTCATCTATAACCTCTGTGCAAATTTTGTTGACTGCAAAGTGTTTATGAATATGTTTTTAAAAGCTGGTTATCTGACTGTCAGTTAATAGCAATTAAAAAGAAAGCTGATTTTTATCATTTCTAAATGGAAAAAGTCCATTATGAATTTTTGTTATGAATTTCATTCATCAATCCACCTCCTCACTGCTCTTTCCCGGTGCAGCAGCCAGAGCTGGATCAAGCAGCCAGATGGCTTCTGGAGAAAGACTAACTGCAACAAAGGGTCTCTTGGAGGCTGCTCAGGCACAGCAGCTGAAAAATCAAAGATGAAATAAAAACTGGACCTGATCATGGTGCTGGATGAGACAAAAAGTCTAGATGATAAACCAGTGTATGAATTAGTAACACTGATTATGAGGATCATGTTTAGGTGGAAACTAGCGAGCTAACTTCCCGCTAACCTCTAACTCAGCTAAATAGAATAAACTCTGTTTTCATGGATGCCTGGATGTTAAACTTAATTGTTAAACCTGGTAAAGCAGCAATGCTGATCATTTTATTAAAGATGAAAGAAGTTGGACCGTTTTTAGCTCTCAGTGATCCCTCAGTGTTCGTTTGACTTTGGGACCTGAAATGTGGCAGCTTTTCACTTACACATTTTTGAACCACTCATTCATAGAAGTAGTTTCCAGTCAAAGATCTGGACAGATCCACCAAGTTCACAGTAGTTTTACAATTTTCTGCAGCGCAGAAAAAAAAAACCCTGAAAACATCGTCGTTTCCTATGCTCATCTCTCCCAAGTCATTAATAATTTGAGTCAACTCTTGTTTGCCATTGGCACCACAATCATTGTCCGTGTCCAGAATGTCCTCACACTCAAAGTGCATTGCTTTCTCCTCCTCTTCCTCCCCCACCAAGTCCTCCGTGATAGAGCCCAATTTTGGTGCACTCCGGCTGCGCTCCACCAGGGGTTTGTAGTAGCACTGTCTGTTCAGCAGCTTCCTGAGAGGCACCAAGGGGATGGTTTGTTCCCCTATGAGCTGCTGCTGCTGCTGGTGCCTGGCATCCTCCCTCCGTTTTAGGAGGTGTCCAAAACATCTCACTCTTGCCCTTCTAACTATACCCCGATCTGAGGGACAGCTCAGATTGAGAGGGCCATATACCCCAGGGGTGGGAGGATCA